CCAGCCTCTGTTTAAAAGCTTCCAAAGAAGGAGCCTCCACCACAGTCCTGGGCAGAGAGTTCCACTGCTGAATGGCTCTCACAGTCAGGAAGTTCTTCCAGGTGTTCAGGTGGAATCTCCTTTCCTGGAGTTTGAAGCCATTGTTCCTAGTCTCCAGGGCAGCAGAAAACAAGCTTGCTCCGTTCTCCCTATGACTTCCCCTCACATATTTATCATGTCTCCTCTCAGCCTTCTCTTCTGCAGACTAAACATTCCCAGCTCTTTAAGCCGCTCCTCATAGGGCTTGTTCTCCAGATCCTTTATCATTTTAGTCGCTCTCCTCTGGACACATTCCAGCTTGTCAACATCTCCCCTCAATTGTGGTGCCCAGAATTGGACACACTGTCAGGAAGTTCTTCCTCATGTTCAGATGGAGTCTTCTTTCTTGTAGTTTGAAGCCATTGTTCCGCGTCCTAGTCTCCAAGGAAGCAGAAAACAAGCTTGCTCCCTCCTCCCTGTGGCTTCCTCTCACATATTTATACATGGCTATCATATCTCCTCTCAGCCTTCTCTTCTTCAGGCTAAACATGCCCAGTTCCCTAAGCCGCTCCTCATAGGGCTTGTTCTCCAGACCCTTGATCATTTTAGTCGCCCTCCTCTGGACACATTCCAGCTTGTCAATATCTCTCTTGAATTGTGGTGCCCAGAATTGGACACAATATTCCAGATGTGGTCTAACCAAAGCAGAATAGAGGGGTAGCATTACTTCCTTAGATCTAGACACTATGCTCCTATTGATGCAGGCCAAAATCCCATTGGCTTTTTTTGCCGCCACATCACATTGTTGGCTCATGTTTAACTTGTTGTCCACAAGGACTCCAAAATCTTTTTCACACGCTCTGCTCTCGAGCCAGGCATTGTCCCCCATTCTGTATCTTTGCATTTCATTTTTTCTGCCAAACTGACTCAGATTTGTAGATTGTTTGTATGTTGTGTTTCCTCATCAGCTTCCCTATGAGAGTAAAGATGAAGATCCACCCAGAGGAAAAGTGTTCCTGCCATACATCAAGGGAACCACTGACCGCAGCAAGACCCGGCAATCAGTTCATGCTGTGAGGTCTACCAGGCAGCTAGGCCATCCTGCCGAGATACTGGTCAGAGCGTTAGGGTCCAAGTAGACCCATCCCGCCAATCAGCTAGACGAGCTAAGAAAACCAGTAGATTAAAGAAGCGCCATGCCTGAATTCTTACCACAAAATCGAAGATAAGAACTCCAAGTCCTTCATTTTTTCTCTTGCTGGTACTATGTGAGGACACTCTTAATCCTCTCTCTTTCCTGCTTCTTTGTCCGCAGGTAGGAGGAAAGGCGTACAACATCCTCCCAAGTCTGAAGAAAGCAAAGGTTTCCTTCTCGTCTGCCGCTTGAGCTACTCTCTTCACCTTACTCCTTAACTTAACTCACTCTCCTTACGCCAGAGCCCATAACTATCCTTATCTATCGTCATTCTCCTTCCATTTGCATATAAGACCTCTCCTAGCACACCATAGGGAGACCTGATCTAGCAGTTTCTGTGCTTGTTTTTCTGTGTAGGGCCTAGCTGGGTTGGTGTGCCACCTGGTCTATTGTTATGGGTCGAGAAACGGAGGATCGCCTTTACTATGGCAGGGTGTTTTGGGGAACGAATATCTTTCATCCAGAAGAATACGAACAACGAGGAAAATAAACCCCAATTTTGGATTTTATTTTTTTTTTTTTTTTTAAAAAATGACTTTTTAATTTTTCCATTTTTCACCGCCGTCCCACCCCGCCGCGCCGCCCTTTTGTGTTTTCGCCTTGCTGCGCTCCTTGGCGGGTTTCTCCCTCTCGTCCAACCTTCCATCTCCTCCTATCACTCGCAATCCAGCTAGGCTCAAAATTGTGTTTCACTACATTTTGAGCCCCGCGCCCCCCCTTCCCCCCTCTCCCTTCTTCTCCCCTCAAAGCTCCTTCTTTCCCTTTACCTCTACTCAAATTTGGATTTATTTTTTTTTAAAAAATGAATTTTTAATTTTCTCCCTGTTTTTTGGAGGATGCTGTGAGATCATCAAGTCTAAAGAGAGCTGGGCCACCCAACCTGCCTTCAGGTGAGTAACATTTCAGTTCCAACCTTGGATGCATCAACAGTCAGGAGAGTAGGTTTAGATTGAGTTACAAAGCTAGTGGATATGATGGGTAACTCTAAACCAGTGGTTCTCACCCTTCCAAATGCCGCAACCCCTTAATATAGTTCCTCATGTTGTGGTGACCCACAACCATAACATTATTTTTGTTGTTACTTCACAACTGTAATTTTGCTCCTGTTATGAATCGTCATGTAAATATCTGAGATGCAGGATGTATTTTCATTCACTGGACCACATTTGACACAAATACCTGATATACCCACATTTGAATAGAGGTGGGATTGGGGGGAAATAGACCTTGACACTTGGGAGTTGTAGTTGCTGAGATTTATAGTTCACCTACAATCAAAGAGTATTCTGAACTACACCAACAATGGAATTGAACCAGTCTTGGCAAACAGAACTCCCATGACCAACAGAAGATACTGGAAGGGTTTGGTGGGCATTGACCTTGAGATTTGGAGTTGTAGTTCACCTACATCCAGAGAGCGCTGTGGACACAAACAATGATAGATCTATGCATTGTTGAAGGCTTTCATGGCTGGAATCACTGGGTTGTTGTAGGTTTTTTCAGGCTATATGGCCATGTTCTAGAGGCATTGTCTCCTGACGTTTTGCCTGCATCTATGGCAAGCATCCTCAGAGGTAGTGAGACCTCACTACCTCTGAGGATGCTTGCCATAGATGCAGGCAAAACGTCAGGAGAGAATGCCTCTAGAACATGGCCATATAGCCCGAAAAAACCTTAAACAGCCCAGTGATGGATCTGGATCAAACTTGGCACAAATACCCAATATACTCAAATGTGAATACTGGTGGAGTTTGGAGAAAATAGACCTTGACATTTGGGAGTTGTAGTTGTTGGGATTTCTAGTTCACCTACAATCAAAGAGCATTCTGAACCCCACCAATGATGGAATTGAACCAGTCTTGGCACACAGAACTCTCATGACCAACAGAAAATACTGGAAAGGTTTGGTTGGCATTGACCTTGAGTTTGGGAGTTGTAGTTCACCTATACCCAGAGAGCACTGTGGACACAAACAGTGATGTCTGATGGACCAAACTTGGCACGAATACTCAATAGCCCAAATGTGAACACTGGTGTAGTTTGGGGAAAATAAGCCTTACTGGTGGGGTTGGAGGAATTGATTCTGTCATTTGGGAGTTGTAGTTGCTGGGATTTATAGTTCACCTACAATCAAAAAGTATTCTGAACCTCACCAAAGATGGAATTGAACTAAACTTGGCACACAGAACTCCCATGACCAACAGAAAATCCTGGAAGGGTTTGGTGGGCATTGACCTTGAGTTTCGGAGTTGTAGTTCTCCTACATCCGAGAGCACTGTGGACTCTAACAATGATGGATCTGGGCCAAACTTGGCACAAATACTCAATATGCCCAAATGGGAACACTGGTGCAGTTTGAGGAAAATTGACATTTGGGAGTTGTGGTTGCTGGGATTTATAGTTCACCTACAATCAAAGAGCATTCTGAACAGCACCAAGGATAGAATTGGGCCAACCTTCCCACACAGAACCCCCATGAGCAACAGAAAAATCTGTGTTTTCTGATGGTCTTTGGCACCCCTTCTGACACCCTCTTATGACCCCCCTCACCCAGGAATCCCGACCTCCAGGTTGAGAAACACTGCTCTAAAATGACCTTTAAGCTTTCTTCAACCGACCTGCAGTTGGGTTGCAACTCCTATCATCCCCAATTTGCATGGCAGATAGTACTATGTAGCACATTTTTCCTTCCTGGGTTATAAATGTCATTTCCTAATTATAAAAACATGGAAAAAGTTTATTAATCTGCCAAAACTTTGTTTGTGCAAGATATCCCACTGCACATTTTACTCTAGTTTTTCAATGAGTATCTCACAGAGTCTCATCCAATTCAACGTAATTTGTGGCATCCACAAAAATGAAGATTCTGGAATATAACAATTAATTTTAAAAGCAATTAAACAGGAAATAACACTTTCAAACCAGGAACAGAACATTTTTCAAGTTTTGTTACATAGCATCATTGGAAGGGATGGGCTTTGTCATTCAATAACATCTGGGGACATAAACAGGGTAAAGACTCGAGTACCAACTGCTATGTAAATTTATTTACAAGGGTTGAATGAAAAGTAATGCCTCCATCTTCGTAACTCCTCAACAGATGGCAGTACTGGTATGCGGCAGGTACTGGCTTGTTCAGTAGACTCTCCTCTACAGTTCTATTTTGGCGGGAAGCCTTAGCATCAAATGGTTGTGTTGCTAAAGTATGAATGGAACCCTGTGCAGATGGTTGGTCAATGCGACTTAAGTAACGTGCAGTCATTGAATTCTTGACAGCAGAAGGTGTCACCTCAACATCTTTAAACTTACTTGCCCAACGATACACAGTACTCACATCAACACAATCACCATAAACAGCTTGCATTCTCTGATGTATCTCCTTTGGGGTGACACCTTCTGCTGTCAAGAATTCAGTGACTGCTGTATACCTTGCCAGCCCATTTATTTTTCCTTGCCTTCCATCCACAGGCCAAGAGATGGAGAACAACGGCATGTACCTGCACACCTTCAGCGAGAGGGAGAATGGATCCATCTTGGAAGAGCCCTTCGATGAGAAGAACCTCTCGAAGATGAACCTCTGCAATGAAGGTGAGTCTGAAACCTGGGAGGAAGAACCTCTTTGGCTGCAGTGAATTCAGATTCTGCCACTGGGCAGATAGGTTATGGAGTCCTTGTGGGCATCGGGGACCAAGAGTAGTAGTGTAGAGAATCATGGAATCGTAGAGTTGGAAGAGACCTGGTGGGCCATCTAGTCCAACCCCATTCTGCCAAGAAGCAGGAAAATCCCAGCAACTACAACTCCCAAATGTCAAGTCCAGATCCATCATGGTTTGAGTCCACAGTGATCTCTGGATGTAGGTGAACTACAACTCCAAAACCAAAGGACACTGCCCACCAAACCCTTCCAGTATTTTCCACACAAGGACTCCAAGATCTTTTCCTCATGTCTTGCTGTCGAGCCAGGCATCCTCCCCCATTCTATATCTTTGCATTTTACTTTTTCTACCTAAATGGAGTATCTAAGTGGAGTGGGGTTCAGAGTGCAACTACAACTCCCAAATACCAATGTCTATTTTCCCCCAAACTCCACCAGTGTCCACATTTGGCCATATTGAGTATTCCTGCCAAGTTTGGTCCATATCTATCATTGTTTGAGTCCACAGTGCTCTCTGGATGTAGGTGAACTACAACTCCAAACTCAAAGTCACTGCCCACCAAACCCTTCAGTATTTTCTGTTGGTCATGGGAGAACTGTGTGCCAAGTTTGGTTCAATTCCATCATTGGTGGGTTCAGAATGCTCTTTGATTGTAGGTGAACTATAAATCCCAGCAACTACAACTCCCAAATGACAAAATCATTTTTTTTGAGTGAAGGACATACATTGGGTTGTTAGGTGTCTTGTGTCCAAATTTGGTGTCAATTTGTCCAGTGGTTTTTGAGTTCTGTTAATCCCACAAATGAACATTACATTTTTATTTATATAGATGACTGGGAGTGGAGTCTCCTTTTCTGGAGGTTTTTAATCAGAGGGGATGGCCATCTTTCGGGAGGGCTTGGATGGTGTCTTCCTGGCAAGGAGAAGAAGGTTGGACTAGATGACCTTTTGGGTCTCTTCCAACCCTGTATATATTTATCGTGTCATCAGCAACCATGCCATTGTATTACATTTCTAACAGAACAAAACAAACAAATAGATTAAAAAACAAATTTTGCAAGCTTGGTAGTTGATTAAATGTCCTTTGACCAGTATCTGGCCCCTTGGAGTGCCTCTGGTGTTGCCGCAAGAAGGTCTTCCCTTGTGCATGTGGCAGGGCTCAGGTTGCATTGCAGCAGGTGGTCAGTGGTTTGCTCTTCTCCGCACTCGCATGTCGTGGATTCCACTTTGTAGCCCCATTTCTTAAGATTGGCTCTGCATCTCGTGGTGCCAGAGCGCAGTCTGTTCAGCGCCTTCCAAGTCGCCCAGTCTTCTGTGTGCCCAGGGGGAGTCTCTCATTTGGTATCAGCCATTGGTTGAGGTTCTGGTTTGAGCCTGCCACTTTTGGACTCTCGCTTGCTGAGGTGTTCCAGCGAGTGTCTCTGTAGATCTAAGAAAACTATGTCTAGGTTTAAGTCGTTGACGTGCTGGCTGATACCCAAACAGGGGATGAGCTGGAGATGTCACTGCCTTGGTCCTTTCACTATTGGCTGCTACTTCCCGGCGGATGTCAGGTGGTGCAATACCGGCTAAACAATGTAATTTCTCCAGTGGTTTAGGGCGCAGACACCCCGTGATAATGCGGCATGTCTCATTAAGAGCCACATCCACCGTTTGAGCGTGGTGAGATGTGTTCCACACTGGGCATGCATACTCAGCAGCAGAGTAGCATAGCGCAAGGGCAGATGCCTTCACTGTGTCTGGTTGTGATCCCCAGGTTGTGCCAGTCAGCTTTCATATGATATTGTTTCTAGCACCCACTTTTTGCTTGATGTTCAGGCAGTGCTTCTTGTAGGTCAGGGTACGGTTCAGAGTGACTCCTCCCAGGTACTTGGGTGTGCCGCAATGCTCCAGTGGGATTCCTTCCCAGATAATAATCCTCAGAGCTCGGGATGCTTGTCTGTTCTTAAGGTGAAAGGCACATGTCTGTGTTTTAGATGGATTAGGGATCAGCTGGTTTTCCCTGTAATAGGCAGTAAGGGCACCTAGAGCTTCGGAGAGCTTCTGTTCAACCATCTCAAAGCTCCCTGCTTGAGCGGTGATGGCATGATCATCAGCATAGATGAAACTCTCTGTCCCTTCTGGCAGTGGCTGGTCATTTGTGTAAATGTTGAACATGGATGGAGCAAGCACGTTAAGCAGTGTAATTTCTCCAATCCTGTGATTCTATGGGAGGAAATCCCAACCAATCAGGGATTATGAATCAAATTGTGGCTTGGGCTTGAGAAGAGAAGATTGGAGGATTTGATCAATTCATTGATCGCAGTGCCTTACCCCCTGCTCTCCCCAAGTGAGGTCCCCCCCATTTTAGCCCAGCTGTTGAAATCTTCCTAAGGAAGGGAGTGGCTGGGTTCGAGTAACCGTAGCCGACTTCCTTCATGTCTCTCAAGGGTCTTATACAATGTCCACCAAAGAAAGACAGAGAGAGAAAACTGTCCTCATTACGAAATCTTTATTTCCATCTGTTTGGCCGGCAACACCGTGTCGAAGATTGCAAATGGGCCATAAAAACGCACCGATAATTCGTTGCATATTGACCCGCAGGCTGCAAGCGTTAGAGGTCAGGGTTCCACTGCCCCTAAAAGAAATGTTCTGCGTTTGCTTTTCTTCTTTGTTTTGCAAAAGCAATGTTTCTTTTATGATTTGATAATCCATCTCCACTCTTTCACAGAGAATTAAACTCGATGGCCTTTGCTTGCACCCAAGGCCCCAACCTTCATCCTTAACCCTTTGGAGAGAGAAAAAGGTTTCTGTTTCTGGTTTGAAAGTGTTATTTCCTATTTAATTGTGCAATATGGTAGAGTCTCGCTTAGAATCATAGAATCCTAGAGTTGGAAGAGACCTCGTGGGCCATCCAGTCCAATCCCATTCTGCCAAGAAGCAGGAAAATCGTGTTCAAAGCACCCCCGACAGATGGCCATCCAGCCTCTGTTTCAATGCCTGCAAAGAAGTAGCCCTCACCACACTCCGGGGCAGAGATTTCCACTGCTGAACAGCTCTCACAATCAAGAAATTCTTAGAATCATAGAGTTGGAAGAGATCTCATGGGTCATCCAGTCCAACCTCATTCTGCCAAGAAGCAGGAATATTGCATTCAAAGCCCCTCGACAGATGGCCATCCAGCCTCTGTTTAAAAGCCTCCAAAGAAGGAGCCTCCACCACACTCCGGGGCAGAGAGTTTCACCACTGAACAGCTCTCACAGTCAGGAAGTTCTTCATAATGTTCATGTGGAATCTCCTCTTTTGTAGTTTGAAGCCATTGTTCAATTGTGTCCTAGTCTCCAGGGAAGCAGAAAACAAGCTTGTTCTTTCCTCCCTATGATTTTCTTTCCCGTATTTATACATGACCATCACGCCTCCTCTCAGCCTTCTCTTCTGCAAGCTAAACATGCCCAGCTCTTTAAGCCGCTCCTCATAGGGCTTGTTCTCTAGACCCTTGATCATTTTAGTTGCCCTCTTCTGGACACATTCCAGCTTAGAGTCAACACTTCCCTTCAATTGGGTTGCCCAGAATTGGACACAGTGTGATTCCAAGTGTGGTCTGACCAAGGCAAAATAGAGGGGTAGCATGACTTCCCTGGATCTAGAAACTCTATTCCTATTTGTGTGGGCCAAAATTCCATTGGCTTTTTAAGTTGCTGCCTGACATTCCTGGCTCATGTTCCTGCCAAGTTTGGTCCATATCTATCATTGTTTGCATCTACGGTGCTCTCTGAATGTAGGTGAACTACAACTCCAAGACTCAAGGTCAATGCCCACTAAACCCATCCCGTGTTTCCTGTTGGTTGTGGGAGTTCTGTATGCCAAGTTTGGTTCAATTCCTTCGTTGGTGGAGTTCAGAATGCTCTTTGATTGTAGGTGAACTATAAATCCCAGCAACTACAACTCCCAAATGTCAAGGTCTATTTTCCCCAAACTGCACCAGTGTTCACATTTGGGCATGGTGAGTGTTATGCCAAGTTTGGTCCAAATCCATCATTGTTTGGATTTGCTTCCTGGTGTTCCTGCGCTCTTCAATCAGGAAACCTCATCCTGTTCCAATGGAATATTAAGGGCTGTTTCAGCTGCTTGGCCATATTGAGCAGAAACCAGCTGGACTCCCTACCCAAGACAAGCAGTTAGAAGGCACCCTTGGAGACGGTGTTTTCCTTGTGCTTTGGGTTGCCAGAGTGGCACCGTGGACGGGGGCCAGCGCCTTTTCCTGGAGGAGTGGGCGAGCACACATATGTCCAGGTAATAACTTAAGACCCCCTCTCCAATACATGAGGGCTGGGTCCAAGTGTTGCCTCTACTCAGCGGTCGAACCAGATGCTGTTGGACCCAAACAGGCAGCAATCGCTATGTTGGCAGAGGAGCCGAAAGCCTCTCGGTTGCCAAATGAAGTGTGAAGCAGTCCCTGGAGAGCTTTGTCCGAAGGAAGCCAAGAGACCAGCTGCAGGAACGAATTGACTGAGAAATACCCCTCTCTGTTGATCTCCTTGGGGGAGCCAAAGCTGGCCATGGGAGGCCCATGCAGCCACCGAGGCCTGGCATCCCAATGAATCATAGAATCATAGAGTTGGAAGAGACCTCATGGGCCATCCAGTCCAACCCCCTGCCAAGAAGCAGGAATATTGCATTCAAAGAACCCCTGACAGATGGTCCTCTTCTTGAAGATTGGGACCACATTGGCCCTCCTCCAATCTGCTGGAACTTCTCCCGTTCTCCAAGAACTCTCAAAGATGATTGCCAATGGTTCCGAGATGACTTCTGCTAGTTCCTTTAGTACTCTTGGGTGTAGTTGATCTGGCCCTGGGGACTTGAACTCATTTAGAGCAGCCAGGTATTCCTGGATGACTTGTTTCCCAATTTGGGGTTGGATGTCCTCTAATCCCTCACCCACTCCATCTTGCA